CCACAAATACAACACAATCAATGCTTAAATCGAAGCCAATGTTGTCAGACCAGAAACCTATGTGTTAAAACAAGACAGTCCGAGCCGAACATGTCCTCAGAACATTTCGTGCAGACCACAAAAGGTTCTTAGAACACTCTTCGGTGGGCCTAGATGCGAGCCAGGATGCTTCGCCACTGCTTCACCTCGCGGCGGACGCTGCTGCTCTCCACAGCCCTGGGCCGCGGGAGCCAGCCCAGCGGGGGCCCCGGGACCGTGGGACAAAGCGATCTGGAGCGAAGCACTGGGTCTCCTCCTCCTCCTCTCCTCCTCCTCCCCGTCCTCCCCCTCCTCCTCCTCACTCTCCTCCTCACTCTCCTCCTCCTCCTCCTCCTCCTCTTCCTCCTCCTCCTCCTCCTTGCTTCCCTCGTGTCCCTCCTCCTCCCCTCCTCCTCTTCAACCCCCGCCTCCTCCTCCCCCCGGGATGCGGTCGACTGGTCTGAGGGCCACATAGCGTGAGACCAATGCGACGTCGGAAGTCTGGTTCCTCGCCATCGCTCGGACGTCCATTCCCCGTGCATTTGTGCTCCGTTTCTTGCGTATAAGTTTAGCGGGATGGTCCAGGATGCTCCTCGATGGTCCTCGCCGAGGGAGAAATGCACACGTCGGAGCGACGCCAAGGGTTCGCTCTGCTCACAGCAGGGCAAAAGCACCCCGAGGATCGGGGAGGGGGGAGTCCCCGACCACGGCTGTGTTAACCGTCAGCTTCCCCGTGCCCATCCCTCGCGTGGTGGACTTGTTCTTGACGTTGCCCCTCAGCTCCTCCTCCTCCTCCTCCTCCTCCTCCTCCTCCTCCTCCTCCTCCTCCTTTCCTCCCCCTCCTCCTCCTCCACCACCACCTCCTCCTCCATGTCTACGAAGTCTTGCCCTCGAGCCTCGAAGATCCAGAGGGGGGGGTGGCTTCTGTCAACGTCTCCGTCGGTTGCTACGCGCTTCTGGTCCTGCCCTGGGCCCCGGGAGACACTCGGAGGACGCTGGGGACATCCTGGGATCACGACCCGAGCCGCAACTGCCGCTCACAACCATCCCCGTCCTGGCCATCGCTCGGACGTCCATTCCCTGTGTTTTCTTCGGTTTCGTGCGTGGTTGTTACGCCAAATGATCAAGGATGCTCCTCGATGGTCCTCGCCGAAGGAAAAATGCACACGTCCGAGCGATGCCAAGCGTCCCCCTCCGTCCTGTCCGCGGCCCTCTGACAGCTTCGCGGCCCTCTTCCAGGTTGCGCACAAGCCAGGGTAAGACCAAACTTTGCGGGGGAATGCGCAGCAGCATGCTTGCACGTTCTCAGTGTCCCCCTGCTTCTCCGCTGTGGCCTCTGACATGCAGTCATACAGCTGCCTGGTGAGTCCGTGCCTTCCTTGGACAAAGAAGCCCTGACTGCAGAACGGCAACCTCACCCCAGAAACCCCTTCCTGGCACAAACTGTGGGCTTGCACTCGCCCAGGTATGCGACCACAGTGTGACTCGTGGCTAACCGACGCGCAACTAGCCCTGTGAAATCGCGCCTTCGCTCGAACTGAGACGAATCCGATCCCCCTCCTCCCTTCAGACCGTGACGCTCTCACTGATTGAATGGCCCCTCCTTGCTAATGGGCAGAAGCGACCAGAGTAAGCCATGCTTCTGAAGCCATGCCTCTGAAGCTGAAGATGAACGTATTCAGAAAGCTCACCGGTCTGTTGCACCAGCCACACCTCGCACTCAGGGAAACGCAAAGACTTGGCTAGATGGCGCAGAAGGGGTAGGACGCATATATGATCGGAACGAACTGTTGTACACACGCTCGAGTTTGTAGCACAATTCCCAGATCCTGCCACGAAGTATTTGTCTCACGTGGCGCAGAGCCCTCGAACTCACACACGCGCGCACGTCGCAGCCTCCAAGCAAATCCAGAATGGCGATGGGGGCAACCTGCAATGGGCGAGCCCGCCCAGAGATGTGGCTCAGACCATCGGCACCAGGGGCGCCCAAACCTCCTGCTTCCGTAGAAGCAGGGACCCGTGTCTCGCCATCGCTCGGACGCCCATTCCCTGCGCTTTTTGTCGGTTTCGTGCGTGGTTGTTTTTGTTTCTGTTCGCAGGATGATCCAGGATGCTCCTTAATACTCCTCGCCGAGAAAAAAAGTGCACACGTGCGAGCGATACCAAAAGGTGCATGGGAACAGCACGCACAGACGGACCACCCTCGACGGCGACGGACGCGGGGCATAGGGCGGATCATCCCCTGCGCTCCGACGGGGCGGAGCGATCGTGCCTGACGCAAAACTCGTACGCGGGGCGGTCGCTCCGACGAGCACTCGCCTCCTCCTCCTCCTCCTCCTCCTCCTCCTCCTCCTCCCCTCCTCCTCCTCCTCCTCCCCTCCGCTCCTCCTCCTCCCCTCCTCCTCCTCCTCCTCCTCCTCCTCCTCCTCCTCCTCCTCCTCCTCCTCCTCCTCCTCCTCGTACGCGGGGCGGTCGCTCTGACCAAAACCCCATACGGTGCGGGCGCGGCCGCAGGAAACCCTCGCAGAAGAGGCCCAGCCCTGAAAGAACCCGCGCGCGAGAAGTGCACCGGAGGGGAGACCTGGAGCACCCCGAGCGCAGCAGCTCCTTCGACGGCCGCGGGAAGTCGCCGCGCAGCGCGCGGGGCGAAGAAACCCAGGATACCCTGACGAAATGTATACGGCTTCTTGATGCGCGCCCACGCTGTACATGGCGATGGAGCCCCCCGCACATCCATGCGCAGCGTCTGGGGCTGCAAAATCCTCCGGGTGGACCAGGACCCACCCACTTCATCACACCCCTCGCACGGTCGTGTGCGGTCCTTCGCGCGCACCCCTCACACGGATTGCACTGCGTCAGCGGGCGACTCCTCATGAGGCGCCCCACCCACTGTGGCACACCCCTCCTGGAATCGCGCCCCCTGGGGAGCTCCAGTTGCGGCCCCAGAGGGAGTTCCCGCATACCGTCCCCAGCACATTGAGGCACACCTCTCACGCGGATCGTGCCTCGTAGGGAGGCCCTCGCGCGTTTGGGCGCTTGCTCCGCAGCCCCCTTCTTGCACTGCCCTGTACTCCCATCCCTCTGACGGGGCGCAGTGCGTGAGGACAGAGCCACACCCTGCGCTGCACGCAGCTGCACAAGACTGAGCCCTTCGCCGGACAGAGTGGGAATACCTGCGAGCCCCTTTGGGGGCCCTGAGGACCTATGGGAAGCTTCCCGGAGCATCCAGGGGACCGTCCGAAGCCTCCGGCCGAGGCCTCCAGAGCCCCTCGCGCCCCAGAACACACAACATCGCGCCTCGTTCTCCTCATCGCGATACTCGTGTCGCAGGCCCTCGCCCGTCGTCGTCGTCGTCGTCGTCGTCGTCGTCGTCGTCGTCGTCGTCGTCGTCGTCCCCCGACATCACACGAAGCGCGAGGGCACGACAGCCCCCGTCGAGCCCTCGCCTCGGAGGCCGCAGGCGCCCGGAGCGACGGCACGGTCAACTCAGCCGGAGAGACAGGCGGGCCTCCACTCCGACACCAGGTGCGAAGGTCCTCCTCCTCCTCCTCCTCATCCTCCCCCTCCTCCTCCTCCTCCTCCTCCTCCTCCTCCTCCTCCTCCTCCTCCTCCTCCTCCTCCTCCGCCTCCTCCCCCTCCTTCCTCCTCCTCCTCCCTCCTCCTCCTCCTCCTCCTCCTCCTCCGCCCTCCTCCTCCTCCTCCTCCTCCTCCTCCTCCCCTTCTCCTCCTCCTCCCCCTCCTCCTCCCCCTCCTCCTCACCCACTCCTCCTCCCCCTCCTCCTCCCCCTCCTCCCCCTCCTCCGCCCCCTCCTCCTCCTCCTCCTTCTCCTCCTCCTCCTCCGCCTCCTCCTCCTCCTTGTCATCCTCCGTTTCCCCTCCCCACCCCGCTCTCCACACGCTTCGGGTTTGCCAGACGGCCGGCTGCGCGGTAAAGAAGCAAAGGCCCTGGAGGTCCATGTGAACGTGAGACATGCGAGCCTCCACTCCGCCTTTGAATGTGAATGCAGCGCCAAGGAAATTCCCACGCCTGCGTGTGTACTGCCCCCTCGCCCCCTCGCCCCTCCCCCCAAAAAGGCCAGCGGGGCCAGAGCCACTCAAATCGGCCATCTTCTTTGACTCCTCCTGGGCCCTTCTCCTCCTCGTTTTCCTCCTCCTCATCCTCCTCTCCTTACCCTGATCGTCCCCCTCGCCCATCCTCGTCGTCCTCCCCCTCCTCATCCTTCTCCTCCTCATTACCCTCATTACCCTCATTATCCTGCTCCTCCTTTTCCTCCTCCTCCGCCCCCCTCTTCCTCCAACAGTCGCATTGCTTCCCTCATCCTCCTCCTCCTCCTTCTCCTGCTCCTCCTCCCCCTCATCCTCCTCTCCATCATCGCTGTCCTCACCCTTGATCTCCCTCACTGCCCTCCTGATCCTCCTCATCATCCGTCCTCCTCCTACGGCTCCTGCTCCTGCTCCTGCTCCTGCTCCCGCCTCCCCCTCCTCGCGGCTCGCCTCCCCTCCTCTCCTCCTGCTCCGCCTCCTCCCGCTCCGCCTCCCTCGCATCGCTCGCGCGCGCCTCCCCCGTTGCTGGGCCTGCTTTCCGCCGCCACCGCCACCAGAGGGTGGGGGGGGGGGGACGGCGGTGGAGGCGAGAGGATGAGGAGGCCGAAGAGGAGGTAGGATGAGGAGGAGAGGAGGAGGAGAGAGGTGGAGGAAGAACGAGGAGAGAGGTGGAGGAGGAGGAGGCGGAGGAGGTCGGATGAGGGGTAGGAGGAGGAGTAGGAGGAGGAGGCTGAGGAGTTGATGAGGGGAATAGGTTAAAAAAAACACAACAAGGAGGTGGAGGAGGACGAGGAGGAGGACCCTGCCCCCCCTCCGACTTACCGGCCCAACACCCGTTCCCTGCTGCCCCCCGCTCGCTGGGCAGGAGGCGAGCAGCCGCCTGCCCGCCGGCTGCGGCCAATCGCCAGTGCCGCGGGCGTGCGCGCCGCCAGGTGCGGCTAGGCCAAGGCAGGGGCCCGACCACGCTGGCTCGCCTGGCCCAGGAGGGGATGGCCTCTCTCTCTCTCTCTTTCTTTATGTCTTTATTTATTTCTCTCTCTCTCTCTGTCTATATATATATATATATATGTATAGTAATTTTTCTCTCTCTCTCTCTATTTCTCTCTCGAACCCTCTCTCTCCCCTACACAGTATCGCTCTCTCTCTCTCTCTCTCTCTCTCCCTCCCCCTTTCTCTCTATCTTTCTCTCTTCCCTTTTTTTTGTTTTCTCTCTCTCTCTCTCTTTCCCTCTCTCCCTCTCGCTGTCTGTGTCCCTGGCTCTGTCTCTGTCTCTGCCTCTATCTGCCTCGGCCTCCGTCTGTGCCTTTGCCCTTGTTGTATCTTGTGTTGTTCGTTTGTTGTGTCGTGTTTGTTTGTCTCTCTCTCTCTCTCTCCCCCTCGCTCAACTTACATGTATGCATAGGTATACATATAGATAGAGAGAGAGGGAGAGATGCGTGTTCCCCTACTCTCTTTCACTGTCACTGTCTCTGTCGCTGTCTCTGTCTCTGTCGCTGTCACTGTCTCTGTCGCTGTCCCCCTCTCGCTCTCTCGCTCTCTCTCTCTCTCTCTGTCTCTGTTTCTCTCTCTCCCTCGCACTGCCTGTGCCTCTCTGTCTCTGTCTCGGTCTGTCTCAGCCTCTGTCTCTGTCTTTGCCCATCTGCCTCACTCTCTCTCCCTTCCTACCCCTCTTCGTTAAGGGTGTTCACCTGCATATATCAACATACACATATGGATCCCCTCTTCTCCCTCTCTCACGCCTTCACTGTCTGTGTCTCTGCCGCTGTCTCTGTCTCGGCCTCTGTCTCTGTCTTTGTCCCTCCATCTCTCTCTCTCTCTCTCTCTTGCTCCCTCTCTCTCTCTCTCTGTCGTTTTCTCTTTCTCTCTCTCTCTCTATATATACAGTGCGAGCCACCGGCGGGCCGCTATTCTCAGGAACTTCTGGAATTTCTGGAATATCTTAAATTTTTGAATTTCTGGAATGTTTGGAATTGCTGGAATTCCTGGGTTTCTGGATTTCTGGAATATCTGGAATTTCTTGTTTTTTTTTGAAATTATAGAGTTTTTGGGATTTTTGTAATTTCTGGAATTTCTGGAATTCTTGGAATTTCTGAAATTTCTGGATTTCTGGAATGTCTTGAATTTCTGGAATTCCGATGGAATTTCTGGAATTTCTGGATTTCTGAAGGTCTGCCATCTTGTACTAGTTAGAAGGATACCAGAGGTTTGATAAATTCCAGAAATTCCAGAAATCCAGAAATTCCAGAAATTCCAAAAATTCCAGAAATTCCAGAAATATTCCAGAAATTCCACAGGAATTCCAGAAATTCCAGAAATTCCAGAAATCAAAAAATTCCAGAAATTCCTCAGGATAGCGGCGCCGGCCGTGACCTGCAATGTATATATATATATATATATATATAGATATCCATCTCTGTCTCTCTTGTTGTATCTCTCTCTCTCTCTCTCCCTCTCTTCTTCTCCCTCTCCCTCTCACTGCCTTTGCCTCTGTCTCTGGTTCTGTCTCTGTCTCTGTGCATGCCTGCCTCGTTTTCTGTGTTATACTTCCCCTCTCTCTCTTCCTGTATATATAGATAGAAAGACAGATACCGAATATTATATACATAAATATGCTGACAAATTATCGTTCCCCTCTCTCTCGTGTCCGCCCTCTCTCGCCCTCACCGTCTGTGTCTCTGCCTCTGTCTCTGTATCGGCCTCTGTCTCCGTCGTTGTCCCTCTCTCGATCCCTCTCTCTATACATAGAGATATAGTTATATGTAACCCGCTCTCTCTCTCTCTCTCGCTTGTTTTGTGTTTGTTGTATCTCTCGCTCTCTCTCTCTCTCTCTCTCTCTCTCTCTCTCTCTTTGCTCTGCCATAGATCGATACATACATATGGCGGATTCCCGTTTGTTCTGTTGCCTGCCCCTTGGTCCCCGGCTTCCCCTGCACCGGGGGCAACCCCGGCCAAGAACTCCCTCGATGTCACCTTTCAGCGTAAAGCACAAACACCCGGGTCAGCTTGATACTGATGATGGGCCTGTCTTCCACCACCACCAACACCATAAGTTGTAAGGGGAAGGAGGTGGAGGACGAGGAGGAGGACGAAGAGGAGGAGGAGGATGACCCCCTCACCCTCCAACTTATGGTGGTGGTGGTGGTGGAAGACAAGCCCATCAACTGATATTTCTCCTGAGTGCGAATTTCCATTTTAATACGTGAACATCTTGACGCACATGCCACACACTCTCACGAACAGATCTCCGATTATCCCTCATAAGGGAGGCCGCGGTCAATCCGCACATGCTCGAACAGGGCGTGCATCCTCAAAAACAATTCGTATCGGCCACGGCCCCGCCAAGAGCATTCCCGAGAATGGGATGGCATCCGCCAAATCGCGCGGCCGTGGCAGTCGGAGCCCAGAGTTCCGAGCATCCGAGGATGTCTCTGGCGAAGCGGGCCAGAGCGCCAGGGCATCTCGCAGCCCGCACCTCGCGTAGGGGAACAAAAGGTGGCATAAACATAACAACTCGGAGGTCCGCGCGGATTTCTCGGATCCGCGCTGGACCTCCCTGGCGGCGGATCCGGCGCCGCCCCTGGCGCGCTCCGCGCGCCAGAAAGGGGGGTCCAGCGACGATCCGAGATTTCCGCGAGGACCTCCGAGTTTTTATGTTTATGTCACTTTTTGTTCCCCTATCGCGAACCGCATCTTGGAACCCAGAGTTGTAACGATGTCTCAGGCGAAACAGGCCAGATCACCTTAAGTCAGGGCATCTCGCAGCTCAGGGTGCCCAGGATGTATTAGGCGAAACGGGCCTGAACACCTCGCGAACCGCATCTTCGAACCAAGAGACGACACGGATCAGGGTACCTCACGTCAGGGCATTTCGGAACCTGGGGTTCCGAGGATCTCTCAGGCGAAACGTGCCTGAGCACCTCGCGAACCGCACATTGGAAACCAGAGTTAATGAGGACGTCTCAGGCGAGATGGGCCATAGCACATGGAGTCAGGGCATCTCGGACCACGTGGTTCAAAGGATGCCAGATGTGAAACGGGCCAGCGCCTCTGCGGCCCATGGGGGGCCCCGCACTCCTTCGAGGGCGGCCCCTCCGCGGCACCTCCCCGGCACCGCCGCTGGCGTTGCCGGGTCTGCCCGGGGCTGCCCCAGGAGGTCCCGGCACCCGGGCTCTGGTGCCCTGCTCCCCCGCCAGCCAAGCACGATGAGCCCTGGAGGGGTCAGAAACAGCCCCAAGCGTTAGCCAAAGAGGCCAACGGGGACCATGCGGCTCTGCAAAGACACGCGTCCACCACTCGGGTCGGGGGCGAAAGGGGGGGATAGCAAAGGGGGGGGTTGAGAATCAGCTCACGTAGCTGATTCTCCCGGCGCCTCCCGGCGCCGGAGGCGGCTATGTATCGAGGAATGGGCCCCTCGGTGAGGCCGAAACCAGCTGCATGCAGCAAATTTCGTAACCCCCCCTTTCCCAATCCCCCCCTTTCGCCCGGCCCGAACCACCCAAACCGAACGGACCGTTCGAGACATCCCCGCAATCTGGGCCCACACGGGCCCGTGACAGAGCTCGGTCGGCAGGGCGCTGGCCACCAGCCCAGGGCACGATCTCGAGCCGCGTGCAGCCCTGGCGACGAGGAGTGCCCCTAGAGAGCATCGAAAGCACAAGCACTCGTCGGACAACAATACGAGCATTCTACTCCCCCCTCCTCCTCCTCCTCCTCCTCCTCCTCCTCCTCCTCCTCCTCCTCCACCTCCTCTTTCTCCTCCTCCTCCTCCACGTCCTCCTCTTTCTCCTCGCACTCCTCCTCAGAGGTTGCTCCCCTCGCACGCGGCATCTCTGTGCCCAGAGTTTCGGGGACGGCATAAGCGAAACTGGCCGGCTCGGCTCGCAGGCGGCATCTTTGAGCGCAGAGTTGCGAGGATGTCTCACGCAAAACGGGCGTGGCCACCTCAAGTCACGGCATCTCCAAACCCCGAAGTTTCTCGAAGATGCTTCAAGCGGAGTGGGCTGGCCCACCTCTCGCGCGGCGTCTGGGAGCCCGAAGTGGCGAGGATGCCTCAAGCGAAACGAGCCGGACCACCTCAGCATTCTAAAAAAATTATCGACGCGCGGCACCCTCGGGCGGCTTTCATTCCTACCAAAACCACGGACCTGGGCACCGGCCGGGCGGCCCGGGAACACTCCACACCAAAACTTTTATGACGGCGACAGATGAGAACGTCCCATATGCACAACACACGAGTACCATGCACAAGCAACCACACATATCCACACCGCTCTCCTAACCCAGATGTCCCGTCCTCCTTCGCCATATTCCCCCTGTTCCTGTGACGTGGGCCTGGCGAAATCTGAGAAGAGATACTTGGACGCGCAAAAATAAACATACACGAATCTGCTTTGGCGCAAAAAGCACTCAGCAGCCGCGAACAATATTGAGTGGTTGGGCATTCAGCCTTGGGCCAACTGCTACGGAAGAGCACTTTGCATCATCATTCACGCATACCACATGCCAGTGAGATGTAGCACTTGTCTGACAAAACGTGAGGGCGAATACTGGTGGATCACGCCAGGGAGCACCGTGGCATCAACGCTTCCACGGATAACAAATGCCGTACGACAACGGAACATGTCCACGCCGTGTGAACGCATGTGTTCGTGAATAACGCGCCAGCACTTGCAGTACCGCCCCTGCCACATGGTGGAGATGTACAGCCGTTGAAAATTCACTTGTGTCGCGTGTAGGAGCACGCGCTCCGAATGCAGAATACGCCCATCGCAGCAGCATGTTGAGGGCTCAGGTGGGCAGGATGGGCGCAAGAGCCTTCTCACTAACACGGCCACTGTCCGAACTGCGCTGTTTGGCTGAAGGACGCGGCGGATCGCTGCTCTTGCCAAACACATCCCAAAACATAGTAAAACTCGCTCGGAACATCATTGTGAATGGCCGCACCGAGTATGGAGCCCCCATCCGCCACCTCCCTTGGGCGAGAGGGAGGAAGGGCGGGGAAGAAGGCAGAGGAAGAAGGGAACGATGGGAAAGGCAGGGGCGAGGCAGAGGGGGAGGGAGGGGCAGAGGAGGGAGAGCAAACAAGAGAGGGAGTTGGGAACGGCGAGAGGAAAGAAGGAGCGGGTAGATAGGAGAGAGAGGATAGGGGGTGGGTGGGGAGGGGGTGGGGTAGGCAAGGAGAGGGGGAGGGGAAAGGGGGAGAGGGAACATGAGAGCGGGAGGCAAGGGGTGACAGGGGAGGGGGAAGGAGGGGAGGGGGATGAGGGGGATGAGGCAGGGAGGGGTGGATGGGAGAGGAAAGGCGGCGGGGGCTGGAAAGCCTTGAGATGGGTGGAGCTGGAAGCCTTCCTTCTGCACGGGTTGGGGCAGTGGGGAGGGCCTTGGTGTCGCGCCGAGAGACATGACCTCCATGCACCGGCCTCCGTTCTCCACTGCCTCCTTCCTTACCTTCCTGGACGCATCTCTCCTTGCCCCCATCCGTGCCTCGCCACCCTCCCTCCCTGCCTGCCTGCCTCTCGCCTCCCTCACGGCTCCCTTCCCAACCCTCTGCCTCCCCCACAATCCATCCTCTCAGCCCTCTCCACCTCCTCCTCCTCCTCCTCCTCCTCTCCTCCTCCTCCTCCTCCTCCTCCTCCTCCTCCTCCTCCCCCTCTCGCCTCCCCACCTCCGCCCTGGCCTCTGCACCCTCCCTGCCTGCCTGTGCACACCGATCCCTCGAGAGAGAGAGATGGGGGGGCACCCAGCAGGGCTGCGTGCTGCACGGCGGCGACCAGGGCAGCGGGCGCGAGGTCTGCGTCTCCGGCACCAGGCCGTCCGCCAGCAGCGAGTGCTTGTACTCCTTGGCGTGCTTGCTGTGGCCGCCTCGCCGAGGGATCGAAGGCAGACGGCCGACTGGAGAGCCCTCCTCCTCCTCCTCCTCCTCCTCGCTCCTCCTCCTCCTCCTTCTCCTCCTCACTCCTCCTCCTCCTCCTCCTCCTCCTCCTCCTCCTCCTCCTCCTCCTGCTCCTCGTTCCTCCTCCTCCTCCCCAGCGATTCCTCCCCCAGGCGCGCCGCTTCCCTCCCGAGGTCTGCTCGCTTCGCGCGCTTCTGATGGACGTTGCGTCCGTCTCCGTGGATTTGCCACCGCTCGGACGCCCATTCCCCATGCGTAATTCGGCTCCGTGCGTGATTTCTGTCGCTCGATGATCCTGGATGCTCCTCGATGGCCCCCACCGAGAAAAAATGCACGCGTCCGAGCGATGCCAAGGTGGTCTCGATGGAGCACCGCGGACCCCGAGCGTCTCCTCCGGAGGGCCCTGCCAGAGCCCGCAGGGTGCCGAGGCCGCCACACTGGTTGTGTCTCTTCCTGATCCGCCTCCCCGTGCCCCTCTGATGCAAGGTCGCCGCCCCGAGATCTGCATCAAACTATCATCAACTATCCTAGCCCCCCCTGCTCATCATCCTCCGCATCCTCCTCCTCCTGCTGCTCCACCGCGTCCCCCGCCTCCTCCTCCTCCTGCTCCTCCTCTCCATCCTCCTCCTCGTCGTCTTCGTCGTCGTCTTCACGGTCGGCGGCACCGGCCATAAGGCCTTCACAATGTACCAACATTCGGTGCACGACGACCATCCGAATGACAAGAATAGAAGCCAGGAAATGGAGACAACTCCGCTTTGGACTGCATTGCGGGGGGATCTCATGATCCCAGGAGAGTGAGGATAGCGGCAATCTGCAGAAAAGGGTATATTCTCGGCCGATCGTCAAGAACAACGGCTTGCAACGTCGAGATCGGGACCGCCGATTAGGACGAAGACGCCGCCACCCCCTTCAGACGGCGTTTCGCACACATCTGAACTACAGAGACCCGCTTCGCTGTCAAAAATATACTGTGCGCGTGCATGCTCCACCTCCTCCGTTTCCTCCTGCTCCTCGTGCTCCTCCCCAATCCAGTTTACTCTTGATGAACTTATCCCTGTCGCACCCCCCGACGTGTCGGCAGGCTGGGTTGGGCGTTTCGCCTGAGACTCTCTCGCACTGTACGATCCTGAACGTTGCAATCTGGCACAGCCTCAACGCTGGAACACGGGTAGTTTTCAAAATGTGGCTACCGCCTTCGCGCCGTGAGTATTCGTCTCAAACTGTTGCAACAACTTCACGGTTGGAGGCCGGCACCTTGAAAACATGTACCTCTCGCTCAAGCGCCGTGCACCTTCGCGTTAAACATGTGCAAGATGTTCAAGGACTCGTAGGGCTGAAGCCCTGGGAATTATGTGCTGGCGCGTTGTGAAATTGCCAGGACGCAACAGTCACGCTGATTCGCAGGATTGAAGTCCCAGGAGTGGCGTTCTGGCACGATTCAGGATGTCAGGATCCAACATTTTCGTTGATTGGAGGCGATGACGTCTCAGGGATTCTCAGACGGCGATCTTTCAACAGGGATTCATGGAATACCATTAAGTTAGTAGAGAGCCTCATGAAGAGGGAACTTGGACAGACAATGTGTTGCATGGTTGTTTGTCCAGGGCTTACACTCCTCCTCCTCCTCCTCCTCCACCTCCTCCTCCTCCTCCTCATGATCATCCTCTTCATGATCCTCCTCCTCCTCTTCCTCCGCCTCTTTCTCTCGATGAGGCGCAGCAGCTGGGGACCGCAATAAAAACACTCCAGACCCCGTCCCCGCCGCCATCTTGAAGACCGCGTCGAGATATTGGCGCAAACCTTTGACCGACCAGTCCAGCACGGGGATCGTGAAACATCCGATGCGATGCCAGACTCTACGGCGGGTTCGTGCACTGATTTCGTCGGAGCCTGGTTTCTGACACGGCGTAGATCGTTCAAGATTCATCGACCCCCGCCATCCTTCACACGGCTTTTACCCCGTGGATTGCTCTCTGTGGGGCCCGATGCCCGAAAGGAGCCTCCGAGAACCGTTCCGCCTTAAACGCCCGCCCCGCCGTCGCCGTCGCAGCGAGGCAGCTCGTGACCGCCACGTACAGGCCCCTCGAATTGGCCCGGCAGCCTCGAGCCGAACCCCGGCAAAGCAAAGCAAACTCCGCTCTTCACCAGCCTCGAACGTATCCCTACCCCTAAGGTTGACACGCCAAACGGCGATGACAATCTTAGGGATCCGCCCTCAAAAAAATGAGGGAATCCCTAAGATTGGCATCGTGATGAGGATGTGCCCAGCATAGGGATAGGGATCGGGATATGTTCCAGGCTGGTCATACCTCCGATGGAGGCCTCCCCGAGGACAGCTGCGCATCGCCGATGCGTCGGCGCCGCCGGCGCGAAGGCATTCGAGCTCCACAGCGAGCCGCGTCGCCGGCGCATCGGCGACGCGGCGCGAGCCTCCGACCCTCGGACCCCGGTCTGGGAGGAGGAGGAGGAGGAGGAGGAGGAGGAAAAGGAAGAGGAAGAGGAGGAGGAAGAGGAGGAGGAGGAGGAGGAGGAAGAGGAGGAGGAAGAGGAAGTGGGCGACAAGAAGAGGAGGAGGAGGAGGAGGAGGAGGGGGGGAAGGAGGAGGTGGGGGAGGAGGAAGTGGAGGAGCAGGAGGACGCGGAGGAGGATGTGGAGGTGGAGGAGGCGGATGAGGACCAGGAGGTGGAGGAGAAGGAACACAGGTTGTCGCACCGACCTTGTGTCATTACAGAACCCCGAAACGGCGAGCGAAAAACGACAGGAATTTCACGTGGGTCTTTGTTTGTAATCTTCATTCCTGGCCCAAGAAATCCGCACATACTTCACTTGGAATTCTTGAGCGAAATTATCCAGGACAATCCGGGTACATCCCATTGTTTTCCGAGCGAAATCCGCTCTGCGATGTTGGCGCCATGGCACAGGAGGTATAGGAGGTGGAGGAGGAGGTCGTGGAGCAGGAGAGGGAAGAAGTGGATGAGGCGGAGGACGAGGAGAAGGAGGAGGAGGAAACTAAAACTGAGGATGTAAGAGAAGAAACGATGCTTTCCGCAAAGGAAGTACAGCGTATGATGGTCTAATAAAACGGAATGACTGAGGCGAGTCCGAGGCGGGCACGGTGAACTGATCAGAAGGAGGAGGAGGTGGAGGTTGAGGAAAAGGAGGTTGAGGAGGAGGAGGTGGAGGAGGAGAATGTGGAAGTGGAGGAGGTGGAGGAGGTGGAGGTGGAGGAGGAGGTGGAGGAAGAGAATGTCGAGGTGGAGGAAGAGGAGGAAGAGGAGGAGGTGGATGCAAAGGGGGAGACGAGGTGGTGGAGGAGGAGAAGATGGAGGAGGTGGAGGAGATAAAGAATGAGAGGAGAAGATGTTCGAGGAGAAGGTGATGGAGAAGGAGGAAATGGAGGGGGTGGAGGAGGAGGAGGAGGATGTGGAGGACGAGGAGGAGGAGAAGGAGGACACGAGGAAAAGCAGGAGGAGGTGGAGGAGAAAGAGGAGGAGGTGGAGGTGAAAGAGGAGGAGGAGGAGGAGGAAGAGGGGAGGGAGGAGGAGGAGGAGGAGGAGAAGGCGGAGGAGGAGGAATGAGGAGGAGAGGATGAGGTGGAGGAGGAGGAGGGGAAGAGGAGGAGGAGGAGGAGGAGGTGAAGGAGGTGGAAGAACAAGTGGGGGGAGGGGGGGGAGGAGGAGGAGGTGGAGCAGGAGAGGAGGCGGTGGAAGAGGTGGAAGAGGAGGAGAGGAGGAGGAGGAGGAGGAGGAGGAGGAGGAGGAGGAGGACGAGGTGGACGAGGAGATGGGGGAGGAGGTGAAGGAGGGAGTGGAGAGGAAGAGGAGGAGGAAGAGAGGAGAAGACGAAGCAGGAGGAGGGGTGGGGAGGAACAGGATGACAGGAGGAGGTGGAAGTGGGTACTCAGGGTTGGCACCAGTCGGCCAGCGAGAAAAATAGACCGCCAAGCAATTTTGGTAGGCGTACTGGCAACATGAAGGACTGCCGTAGCAACATCTGGGGAAGCGCGTACGCATCGACGTCATGAGGCCACGAGAACCACCCGCCCGAAGGAAGGTGGAAACGGAAGGTACGCCATGCGGACCCTGCCGTTGGGGCCTTCGGTGGAGTTCCGTATGGGGTCACGAAACGAACGAGGGTTGCGCCAGATCGGGCGCGGGTACGCCATGCGGACGCTGCCAATGGGGCCTTCGGTGGAGCTCCCTACGGGGCTGCGACACGTGTGAGGTGTGTGCCGAAGTGGGTGCGGGTACGTCATGCGAACGCCACTGCTGGGGCTGTCGGTGGAGTTCCCCATGGGGTAAGGAAACGTGTGAGAGGTGTGCCGAATGCGGCGCGGGTGCGTCATGCGGACGCTGCCTCTGGGGCCTTCGGTAGAGCTCCCTGTGGGGCAGCGAAGCGTGACGGGTTCCGGATCGGGTGTGGGTGCGCCAGGCGGACGCTGCCGCTGGAGCCCTGGGTGGAGTTCCCTGTAGGGGGCCACGAAACGTGTGAGGAGTGTGCCGGATTGGGTGCGGGTGCGCCATGCGGACGCCGCCGCTGGGGTCTTCGGAGGAGCTCCCCGTGGGGCCACGAAACGTGTGAGAGGTGTGTCGAATCGGGTGCTGGTGCGCCATGCAGGCGCTGCCGCTGGGGCCTTCGGTAGAGCTCCCTGTGGGGCCACGAAGCGAATGAGGGGTGCGCCGACGAGGGTGCGGTACGCAATGAGGACGCTGCCGCTGGGGCCTTTGGTGGGGTTCCCTATGGGACCACCTGCGAATTATGGGAAGCCTCGAATCACTACGAAACAAATGTTTGTTGTAGTGATTCAGGTTTCGAATAATTCCGAATCGCCAGACGACTGCCCATGAAACGTGTGAGGGTTGTGCCGATTTGGCATGCGGAGGGCAGAGGCAGGTAATTATAGGAGAAGGGAAGAGGGAGGAAGAGGGGGAGGATGACGCGGGGCACTGCCCGTTTGAAGCGAGGATCCAACACCACAGGATGGCTGGGCAGAAACACAGGGCGCTAGACTCCATAATGGACTTGCAACGTACGGGAAGCATTTAGTTCGTGTGCATCGGGAGCAGGCGAAGTGACCTCTTTCGCCAGCGGCGTCGACGTACGAAGAGGAGGACAGGGAGCCCGCCCTCGCTCGTCCCAGTGTGACACGGGGAAGGTCCGATGGCCAGCTGGCCACACACCCCTCACCTGTATTCCCAACGCAGCCCAGTGCCACCGCATGCCCAGCAAGTCTTGGACGTCGGAGTCATCAGACGGACCCAGGGCGAGGGAGGGAAGGGCGTAAAGAGGGAGAGAGAGCGAGGAACCTTCGTAAAGAGCACCGAGAACCTGCCGAAGCCCAAGTGGTCAACAGCTCAAGGCTTTGACCCTGCCACCCCGAACAGCCTCCGCTGCTGCTGAGCTGCTTGCTGATGTCGCTGCGGCCCCTGCGATGTGGGCTCCTGCCCAAGCCCGCAGAAGGGGCGAAGAGGCAAGGGGAGAGAGAAGACAGTGTGAAGACTTGGAGGAGAAGAAGAAAAAAGGCGAAGAGCATGATGAGGACGATGTGGAGAGCCATCAGCATGATCACGAACAAGATCCAGGAGGACGAGGAGCAGCAGCCGGCTGGTGTAGGCGGCTCATGGCGGACAGCCGTTCGCCGCGCTAGAACACCGGCGACCGCCGGAAGCGAAGTCGGCTGCACGCAAGAGTGGCCTTAGGCTCGTGGATGCCACGACAATGGACACCCTAACAGTCCGATCCTTGAAGTTAAGATGTGTCTAAACTGTAGGAACATGTTCTAAACATGTTTTAAACATGTGTTTTGCGCGTCTAAAGCATGCTTAACACGTGTTTTAGACATCTGGGAATCAGTTGGCAACATGCTTCCTCTCCATTGATCGTCCTCCACAACCTTAGGCAAGAGTGGCCCTTGGTGTGCGGAGCAAGGGAGAGGCGCAGGGTGGCCAAACCCCGCCGCGCAAAAGCAGCCGCTGCCGCATATGGCGCTCTGTGCATCGGAGATCCCGCTGTGCGCACGCACCGGAGGCCACTCTGGCGAAGGGCCGCTCCTGCGTGCAACGCCGACGCAGGCCCGACTCGGCCGCACGCAGGAGATACCCCGGAGAAGATCGGGCCGAACGAAAGCGGGGGATAGGGAAAGGGGGGGGCTCGATATTTGCTGCATGCAGCGCGTTTCGGCCCCGCCGCCGGGCCCTGTCCTCGATACATGAGCGCCTTCCGGCGCGGGGAGGCGCCGGGAGAATCAGCTACGTGAGCTGATTCTCAAACACCCCCTTTGCAATCCCCCCCTTTCGCTCGGCCCGATAAAGAGTGGCCTTCGGTGCGCGGCGTTTTGGGGGCCGCGGGGGAATCAAGCGCAGGCGCGCAAGACGCTACTATCGCATCGCGTGCGGCGATCGGGGGCCCCCGGTGGGTCCGCACCAAAAATCACTCCGGCGAAGGGCCACTCTCACGTGCAGTCGACGAAGGCCCGACCCCTCGCTCTCGCGCGCCAGCGGCGGAGGAGAGGGATGAGGAGTAGAGGGAAACGCCAAGAGGGAGGGGAGCGGATGGATCAACGTTCTGCGCACCGTGCGACGCTCCCGCTGGCATCCCGCTGCCTGGCGCGGCAGGAAGCATCATGCCATAAAATGCTCCGCAATCGGGGACGCTCGTCCCGACGGGGTGTTAACTTTCCAGCCGCCCTGGAACATTAGACCTCCTAGATGGGGTCCGAGGAGATGGGGTCGGAGGATCGCGCCACATCGCCGATGCACCGCCGATGTATCGGCGATGCATCGGCGGCACCGGCGATGCATCGGCACCCACGGCTTGGAGCAAATCGGGCACCACAACGAACCGCATCCCCGATGCATCGGCGATCCGGCGCGACCCTCCGACTCCATGCTCCTGAATAGCCCCCGCCGAGAGAAAGTGGCCTGGCATAGCCCTGCTGAGAGTTGAGGAGCGGTTACGGTGAGAAGATGGCCTGCACTCCAAGCGTTTTCTTGAACAGCAGTCCAGGTCCAGAGAGACGACAGCTTCTACGATAAAAGAGCGCTCCAAGAGAACCCCCAGGGCCCAGTCCGGATTCTCTTGATTCTCTTAGGCAATACCTGGAGCCCATGAAAGTTGACGCGTTGTCTTCAGATCTCTGATGTGTGTAACCCTTCTGTGCAACGAGGTCAAGAAGCAAGGAGGATAGGCTGCGCACGCCCTGGATCAAGGGACAATGGATGCGGAGGAGATAAGAATAATGATTATAATAATTATTGTAATAATCATGATACGAATGCTAAACATAATAATATTGATGATGATAATATTAATAAGAAGAAGAATAAGAAGAAAAAGAAGAAGAAGGGGAACCGCAGAGTTATAAACATTAACAGCCTGGAGAAAGGAGCAAGACAAGGAAGGCCTAGAGCGTGGGCACTCCAGGAGACGAAGACGCATCGACTGGTCACGGAAGCGCACAGCACACCGACCCCCCCCCCTCCAAGCACCAAACACGACAATTGGCACACTCGAGCTCTTGTTGACCATCGTGTCGCAGGCAAGGCAGCTGATCAGAGGGGTCGTGATCTCCCATACGCGGAGGGATGGACAGAGTCATCGCCCTGTCCAAGTGTCATGACCCGGTTGCAGAGCCGTGCGGAGGTATGCAGTCAGCACAGCTACTGCAATACTCGAGACGACGCGTATGTGCCAGCCCTGCTGCTCCAGAGGAGGGGTGGGGTCACGGGAGGCGAACGTGTGGAAGGAGGAGGGCGGGGATTGACGGGGGGGAGGAGGAGGGGAGGGGAGCAGGAGAAGGGAACTGAGAGAATCAGGCAGCAGGCGGCACGCGGCAGAAGCAGGGGGAAAAGCAGCAGCAGCAGCAACAGCATCAGCGGCGGCGGGCCGGGCGGAGCGAATCGGCGGCGGCGCCCGCCGTTTCTCTCGGCCTCCGCAGTCAGACCGCAGCTAGAAGTGCACCGCTGACTTACCGGGTCAAGCAGCGATCACAGTTGCCCCAAAACGCGCGAACTGCTGCATCCACTTCTCGCGCATAGCCTCGGGAGCCGGGCGACGGCGACCGACGACGGCGACGGAGACGGAGGAGGAGGAGGAGGAGGAGGAGGAGGAATGAGAACTCCCCGTCGCTCGGACGTCCATTCCCTGTGCTTCTTTCGGTTTCGTGCATGGTTTTTAGCAGGATGACCCAGGATGCTCCTCAATCATCCCCACCGAACAACAGAGAGCACACGTCCGAGCGATCGCCAAGAGCAAGGACGAGGGAGGAGAAGGGAGGACGGCGCAGGGCGCCTCGGACTCCGCCGCGAACTCCCCAGGCATGAACCACACCCCGTCCACGGGCATCAGCTGGACCTGGGTGGCCGCGCATATACACCCTCGAGCCTCGCTGCCTCGGCCCAGGGCCGTGGCTCGAGAGCCAAAGCTCCTGCATGTCCTCGGCCCCTCCTCGGGCCTCCTCCTGCTCCTCCTGCTCCTCCTCCCTCCTCCTCCTCCTCCCTCCTCTCCTCCTCCCTCCTCCTCCTCTCTCCTCCTGCCTCCTTCCCTCCTCCTCTCCTCCTCCTCTCCTCCTTCTCCTTCCTCCTCCTCCTCCATCGTCCTCCCCTCCTCCTCTCCCTCCTCCTCCTCCTCCTCCTCCTCCTCCTCCTCCTCCTCCTCCTCCTCCTCCTCCTCTACCTCCCGAGTTCGTCGCCGCCGCAGCGCGCTGGCGCCGTCGTCTGCGGTCGCCTCCCCGCTCCACCCGCGGGTTCGCTCGCAGCGGTCGGGGATCTGCTGACCCGGATCAGTCCAGACCCGGGTCAGTGCGGCCTTGCAGGATCCTGCAAACTGCGTGCAGGATCCCGCAGAAGCGACCACTCGCAAGAGTGACTCTGGGTAAGAGTGACCTTTGGTGCGCGGCTTTTGGGGGACCGTGGTGGGGCCAAACACGAGCGCGCAAGACGCCGCTTCCGCATCGCTTTCGGCAATCGGGGGACCCCATTGGGCCCGCACCAAAGGTCACTCCGGCGAAAGGTCACTCTTACGTCTAGTCGACAGAAGCTTGCACCCAAGCCCGGCTCGATGCGACCCTGGCTCTGTAGGACCCTCCTAACCGTCGCTCTGACTGCCCCCCGTTTGCATGGACCCCCCGTCTCTGGAGGCCTCCTAGATGGGGTCCGAGTATATGGGGTCGAAGGATCGCGCCGCATCACCAATGCATCGGCGATGCATCGGCGATGGGCAACACGGTCTCCACATCGAGCCGCATCGTCGTTGCATCGTCGATGCGGCGCCATCCTCCGACCCGGTCTGCTCGGACCCCATCCATAGGCGGCCGAGAGCCCATGGGGCCCCGCAGCGGCGGCACTCGAGCGGGCCCGGCCACGCGCGAAAGGCCGCCCCTTACACGACACTCGGCTGTCGTGAACGCCGCCATCGACACCAGGTCAGCCACGCGCAGAGGGGGGTAGGGGGAGGGGGGAAGGCTTCTTAGAAGCGCCCCTGCTTGTTAGAAGGCGCGCCTTGTCTATAGATGTAGGGCCAGCACATTCTAGGCAGCGGCCTCCTTCTAACACGCCTTCCCCCGGCAGGAGTGGGCGCCCCGGCTGCGCGGCGTGCCGAGCGCTGCGGCGCGGGGAAGAGGCAGCAGCCCGCGTGCCGGGGCCTGGCCCCGCCGCGCAAGCCCTCTCCCCGAGAGGCCGCGCACCGCGGGGCCTCGCCGGCGAAGGGCCACAGGTTGGGTGTGGGCAGCGGGCGCACACGCGTGCATGGGCGTGGGCGTAAGCGTGGGCGTGGGCGCGCGGGCGTGGGCGCGTGGGCGAAGTCGTGGGCCCGGGCGTGGGGGCGAGGGCGAGGGCGTGTGGGTGTGGGTGCGGGCGTGGGCGTGCGCGTGGGCGTGGTCGTGGTCACGGGCGTGCTGGCGAGGGCGAGGGCGAGGGCGAGGGCGAGGGCGAGGGCGAGGGCGAGGGCGTGTGTGTGTGTGTGTGTGTGTGTGTGTGTGTGTGTGTGTGTGTGTGTGTGTGTGTGTGTGTGTGTGTGTGTGTGTGTGTGCGTGTGTGTGTGTGTGTGTGTGTGTGTGTGTGTGTGTGTGTGGTGTGGGTGTGTGGTGTGTGTGTGTGCGTGCGGTGGTGATGTTTGTGCGGGGTGGTGCGTGCGTCGCCGTCGTTTGCGGCGTGCGTGCGTTGCGCTGCGGTGCGTGCGTAGTGCGTGTGGTGCGTGGGGTGTGCTGCGTAGCGTGCGTGCGGTATTGCGTGCGTGCGACGTGCGAAGTGGCTGTGTGTGTGTGTGTGTGTGTGTGGGGTGTGTGTTGTTTGTGGTGCGTGGTGGATGTTCGTGTGCCCCTCACTCAGATTCACGTGCGGTTTTTGTGTGGTCCCCCCCCCCTCCTTCGTGGCCCGGCAGATGGGCATCACCCCAGGGCCACCCCCGCGCGCCGTGTGGCACCCCCTCGGCTGAGCTCCTCACACCCCTCCACACCGCCGCTTGGTGGCTCTCCGACTCCCCCCCACCCGACGCCCGTGACAGCCCCCCCCCACACCGCCCTCCGGGACCAAGACGCGCAAGGCATGGAAGGAACTGGAACGCTACAGTCGGGGCGCTGACCTAAGGAACCCTAAAAAAGGAACGAGGCTCATTTTTTCCATGAGTTGAACTTCGACTACCTATCGAAAGCATAAGGAAAGCCTGAGTCAAGCTGTGAAACACGTAAGGAACGCGGAGCCCCTCCCCAACGAAAAGGGTTCCTTCTTCAGGGCCCCGACTGTACTCGGGGATGTCTCCAGGAGGAGGGACAGCAGAAGCCGCGGGCGCTATGGAAGCCTCGGTGGAAGCCGGCGCACCAGACCAGACGCTGTCAAGAAGTGGCGCGCGGATCGCCCTGAACCGGCTGAGCTGGGCCCACCCCCTCCTCTCTCTCCCCTCCCTGCCTTTGTGTTGTGCCTCCTTTCCTCCCCTCCTTGGTGAACTTTTTTTTATTCGGCGTTTCGACATTGGGTGGAATAGGGGGGGGAGGGGGGGGGCTGGCTCTGGACCTCTGCTTAGTGCGACTGTTTGCAGCAGTGGGCCCTATGAGGGGAGACTCCACCTGCTCGAAACAGTCGCACAAAAAACAGCCAAGATCTACTCCATGGGGGGGGAGAGGGGTTGGGGGGCCCGCGCCGATCGGCAAAACCATGAATAAAAAAACGATCACTCGCCTCTCTCCTCGGCTGGCTGCTTGACCTCTTCGTGTCTTGCCTTGCCCTTGTCTGAGCAGGGACCGACCGTCCCGGCATTCCTATAGTCCTACCACGAAATGTTCTTAGAACCACAAACATGTTTTGTCCTACCACGGAATGTTCTTAGAACCACAAACATGTTGCAATACCAAAAACAGTGTGATAGGACAAGACACTGCGATATGACACCACATTTTTAGAACACAAGCCCGATTTTGAGAATTAGAAAAAGACGGACTCCGCAAGAAAACAATCTAAGAACATGCCGTGGGAGCCACCGAAAAAAAAGGCTCTCAGAGCATTGCCTGACAGGGCCTTCAGGCGAGCCAGGACGCCCCGCCACTGCTCGACGTCGTGCCTCTTTGAAGGGGCCCTGGGGCACACCAATCAATAGACACGAATGACAGGATTCCCCATATTTTCCCATGTTTTCGGGCTTTTCGTCTTCCCCTCCACTTCCAGTATTTTCCTATATTTTCCTGGGAGTCGACGATTAATTGTGTCTGTGTGTGTGTGTGTTTCCCCTCCTGCCTCTTGCCCTGCCCCTGTGGTGTGCGGTGCCCCCTCCCTTCCCAACCCAAGGGGCCTCGCCCCGTGCTCCGCCGGTCGGGGCCGCTCGCGGCCCCTCGCGCGGCAGTCCGCCCTTTGAGGCCGCGTGCTCCTCGCTCCTCGCTCCTCTCTCCGCTCCCCCTCCTCCTCCCCCTCCCCCTCCCCCTCCCCCTCCTCCTCCTCCTCCTCTTTATCCCCCATCCTTCCTCTGCCTCCTCCTCCTCCTCCTCCCTCCTTCCTCCTCTCCTCCTCCCCCTCCTCATATCCTCCTACCACTCCTCCTCCACCTCCTCCTCCCCTCCCTCCTCCTCCCTCTCCGCCCTCTCTCATCCCCCCTCCTCTATACCCCCCTCCTCCTCCCTCCCCCCTCCTCCTCCCCCTCCCGCCTCCCCCTCCTCCTCCTCCTCCGCCCCCGCCCCCGCCTCCTCACTCCGCCTCGCTCCTCGCTCCTCGCGCCTCCTCCTCCTCCTCGCTCCTCCTCCTCCTCCTCCTCCCCCCTCCCTCCTCCTCCTCCTCCTTCCTCCTCCTCCTCCGCCGCCTCCTCCTCCTCCCGCCACCTCCTCCCCTCCTCCCTCCTCCTCCTCCGCCTCCTCCGCCCCCCTCCTCCTCCTCGCTCCTCCTCCTCCTCCTCCCCCCTCGCTCCTCCTCCCCCCTCCTCCACCCTCCTCCTTCTCCTCCGCCCCCCACGCCGCCTCCTCCTCCTCCGGCGCCGCCGCGTCCGCCTCCTCCGCCTCCTCCGCCTCCTCCTCCTCCTCCTCCTCTTCCTCCTCCTCCTCCTCCTCCTCCTCCTCGGCCCCGCGTGCCCTCGTCGTTCGGCGGGCGCGCTCCACTGCTCGCAGAGCAGCTGCTCGCAGATGGCCTGGCGTCGCCGCGGGAGATCTGCGAGCCCTTGCACACGGGAAGACACGTGCGTTCCTGATCCTTGCGACTCGGCGCTTGGCAAGCAGTGGGAACGCACTCGGCGAGTCCTGCTGGCCCCGTGTCGCCCCGTTCGGCCAGCTCTGGCCGCTGCTGCATCGCGCAAGCTCCGCGTGCCGTTCTCTCACCTTCCCAATGGACGATGGCCGGGCCTAGCCCGCAGCACGGCCGAGCGACCGAGCCCGCCGGCCCGTGAGCAGAGCCTGCTTCTCCCCCCCCCCGTTAGCCAGACACACCGTTACGGCGGCAGGCGCGGCACTCAGTGGGCCCTCGAAGCGACAGGGCCGTTTTTTTACCGGCTCCGTTTTGCCGTCTTTTTGCCGGTTCCGACGCCGTTGTTTTGATGGTTCCGTCGCCGTTTTTTGACCGGTTGCGGCTCCGGTTCCAATCCTGGGGCCGTTTTTCTGCCGTTTCCGGTCGCCCTTTCTTTGCCGTTTCCATTTCCAAGGGACATTTTTTGGGAAACGGTGAAAAATCGGCCCTGCCGTTTCCGGGGCCCACAGAGGGCGCGGCATACCTCGTGGTGCTTCTCTCCTGCTCTGCGTCTCTCCTCCCCCCCTGCTCCGTGTCTCAGGAGGGGCAAAAACACACAGACACATTTCATCAGCGCCTCCCCCAAACATATGGGAAGCTATGGGCAGTGGGGGGGAAGACAGAAACCCCGAAAACATCGGAAAATTATGGGGATTCCTT